TATTGGTCTATGAGGTGTTGATAATAATGCAAGCATGATGAACTCATATTTGCCTCAAATTTTGTTTTGAGGCTTTGGACCGCGACATGAGGGACATTATGCAATTTCAGAGGCGACAGTACTCCGTTATGATTTCATATGCTATGACTATAAATAAAAGTCAAGGCCAACCGTTATCCCTTGTGAGGTTGTTGTTGAAGAAGCCTATGTTTACACACAGACAACTATATGTCGCGGTTTCAAGAGTGACCAATAGGCGTGGTTTGAAAATATTGATATACGATATTTTCGGTATGACGGCTAACGCGACGCAAAATGTTGTGTATAAAGAAGTTTTCAATAACGTTTAACGTTGCATTGAATTCCGTTTTTAACCCATGCCTATAGTTCTTTGCACAATTACTTTGTTTTAGTTTGTTATTGTAGTTCCATGTTTAATGGTTTCTTAATCTTGATTTGTGTACTTTCTTGGTAACTATACTCCAAAGTTTTGTTTTATGATCAACTAATTTTTTGGCTCCTACGGTGTTAAAAACATTTTTAGGTAGGAAAAATTGGTTAAAAATTTACCAACCGTGCATTGCACGGGTGATTTACTAGTATTTTCAAACGGGGTAACTTAGGGTTACAAATCATAATGTACTATCACCCTATTTGAGGGTCTTGTGTTTGAAATACTTGTTGTATATCTATTAGATGCCTGCCACACCAGTACTTTATAGCCGTATAGAGGAGTACTGACCCCTTCGGGGGCGTCCCACCACCATTTCAGGTTGAGGCTAGAGCTTACATCCTGTGCTCGTTGATCGAGTGATTCCTCGGAGAGAAGACTTGGTTCGTACTTCCTCCATTCTATTTGAAACATTAATAAATTTGCTCATGGATATTTTACTATAGAGCCTGCGTGCTCATGAATAGCCCTGTGTGGCCCTTTTGTTTTAAACAACGTTTTCCGCTGCGTTATGAATTACTTATTATGTTTGTTTATGGATGTTATGTGTGTGAATGATATTCAAGACGCCTTGTATAATATGAATGTGTTGGACTGCGGTTGACTATTCGTATTGTACGGCGGGTTGTTGACGTGTCCAGGGAGGTCCGAGGCGTGACAATTTAATTGGTATCAGAGCCAGGTTCCATAAACTTCATAATGAAGTCTCAAAATTCTCTTTTCAAAATGATTTTGAAAACCATGAGCATAACCGTTTTGTACTTGTAGAGCTTTTGGTACTTGAGTTGCAAGGTCTCTAATTGTTAAGATGGTACCCTTAGCAATTGGTATGGCAGCAATTCGAGCCAAATAGTGTCTTAAGTACCGATCTGTCAATTGACATTTGATACGAGTCTAACGACTCTTTCCAAATTTATTTCAGAAATGGACCGTGGTGGCAAAGTTACTAGGAGAAACCCGACGGGCCGTGCACCGAAGGAGACTGGGCAGGGCAGCCGTAGGACCTCTAGGGCATCTAGAGGAGCGGGCCGTGGGGGCCGATCACAGACCGTGAACGACGGTCATGTGAGCACCGAGAATGAGAGCTACTGGTCCTATGATGACTCGACCTATCGACCAGAAACCTAGCCGATTGAGACCCCTTATGAAGGGGATGATGATGATGTAAGTGATGAGGAGGAAAATGGCTCCTTAGCACGGATTGAAGCACTACTCCAACAGTACCACCGCGAGCGTGAGGAGAGGAGGGAACGCCGAAGGCGCCGAGCTGGGCAACCTTCGGGCGGGGCTTCAAGGGGGAGAAGCCATGGCGACTCTAGGGCCCACATTGAACCACATGGGGGTCGGGGTGATGGAGGTCCAATCATAAGGATCTCCAAATACATCAAAGAGGCACGAGACTTGGGGTGCAAACCGTTCAATGGAACGGGTGACATCTCTATTTCGGCGCAATGGATTAAGAGGCTGAATGAGGCAGCCCTGGACATGCAACTCACCCCCGAATACAAACTAAGGGTTGCTGTGAGATTACTTGAAGGGATGACATCCAAGTGGTGGGATGGGACCAAAGGCAAATATGGCGAGACCGTCACTTGGGAGAATTTCCGACAGGAATTCTTCGCACAATACTACTCGGATTTCGAGGTGAACAAAAAGGTGAGGGAAATACTCCCCTGCTCTGGTTTCCTCTTTCATTGGATATCAAACCAGAAAATTTTCTCTTTGTAGCGTGCTCTGTACATAACCTTGGGCCTCTTGTTCCACACAATAGAGACTCCCAATTAATGGAAAAACCATCACTTCCAGCCTAGCTGATTGTGAGGTTACCCCTGCATAGGAGAGCTCTCGTGTTTGAGTCCCACTAGCACCAGTGGAACTATGCTCCCACAAAAAACCCTTCAAGTGGTAGGGCCAAGCGGTGTATACTAACCCGTAGGGCCAAGCCAAAGTTGGGTTTCTGGGGTAAGGGGCCGTGAAAGCGGTGGAGCTAGTCACTATAAAAAGTTTACCCATACCTTAGTTTTACCGATGGGCGTAGCTCAACTGGTAGCAAGGGAGTGCCACAAGAGTTAGGTCTCGGGTTCGAATCCCGACAACTGCGATGAGGGGTTACTGTGCTGAAAAATGCATAGGGCCTCTATAAGTACCGGGGACAGAGCCCCACTCTCTATCTGTCAAATTGTGATTATAGTCCAATTTACATCCTCCCATCGTGCCGTCCGGTCGGTGTTGGGGGGCCCTCAGGGATGGGGTGTCATCTTTTTTTTCCCCAATTAATCAAAAGATTTGTCATTATCCGTGATTTAATTGTAGGGAAATTTACCTCCCTTAATGAGGCATTAGCTTATCTTACAAAGATAGCTTTTGGTGGGAAATTGTGTTCTTCCAAGGTTGATGAACTACTAAGAATAAAAAGGAATCCACAACCATACATACCACCTAAGTTCTCTTTTGTCACGTGGCTTGCCTTTTGGAATAGGCTAGCTACTTATGACAACTTGGGGTTCCTTATTTGATTAACATTTGTCCTTTTTGTAAGGCTGATCCGGAAATGATGTCACACCTACATTTTGAGTGACATTTCATAAGTAGGATATGGAGCAAGATAAGGTCTTGGCTTGGAATTGGTAGGCAAATGACTACACTCTCACGTGCAGTGAAGTGGATCAAGAAGGAACACAATGGAGCACACATCAAAGCTAAGGCCGTGATAATTGCATTTTGCTATACTATCTATTGGACATGGAGGACTCGGAATGCTGTTTGTTTTGAGGGCATAAAGCCTACGGTGGAAGCTACGGTCACAAATATAAAGTATATGGTGTACAAAGTTTTATATTCCATGTACTCGCACCAAGTTTTAAATTTTGCTAATTGTTTCTTTATACTCCCTCCGTCTCCTAATTAAGTTATGTGTTTGACTTCACCAGTTTTAAGAAAATAAATTTGACTTTACTGTAGAGTGCACTTTTTGGCACTGTTTTGATGGAGATTATTTGCCAAATAAGGAAAGTGTTGAAGTATGAACTTAATTTAGAAACTGCCCAAAAAAGAAAAGTGAGAACTTAATTAGGGGACGAAGAGAGTATTATTTATGAAAGATATACTACGTCTTAGATGTAATTTTTCATAAATCCCCGAATCAATTAATCCAATCATTTTAGTGAGAACTTCATAAATTTCATCGGTCAATTTAAGTGTTACAAAACGAGTTCTAATTTGAACTAAAGATATACTCCCTCTGTCCCGTAATTAAGTTCCTACTTTCCTTTATGGAATGGTCCATATTAAAGTTTATACTTCAAACCTTTCCTTATTTGGCAAATGATTTACACCAAAACAGTGTCAAACAGTGTTTAAACAGTGCCAAACAGTATTCAAACAATGCACTCCACGGTAAAATCAACTTTATTTCTTAATATGCGTGAAGTCAAATTAGGAACTTAATTAAGAATCGGATGGAGGAAGGAGTTAGTAAAATTTGAAATCAATTTTTCGAAAATTCAATTAAAAAAAGGTGAAATTCGAATTGTCGTACCTGTATTTGAGGCGCAGTACCTTTGCTGGCTTTGCATTTAATGGCGTGGCAGTACGTGAGACTGTGAGAGCAAAATTTGACCTTATTTTCACATGAAACAAAAGAAGCATTCATACGCCATTCAGATTTCCTCGGCCTCTTCTTCGTGGATTGCCCTGAATCTATGCTCATCAGGAATTACTCCCCTGCTCTGGTTTCCTCTTTCATTTTCCTATGTTCCTACCTCACTGCCCATGGCGCCGACACCATCCATGCAAACCAGACCCTCTCCGGAGACCAGACCATTGTTTCTTCATACTTCGAGCTTGGATTCTTCAAACCAGGTAATGCTTCCAAATATTATATTGGCATATGGTACAGGAACATCGTCCCTCAAACTGTAGTTTGGGTTGCGAATAGAGAGACCGCCATATCCGATAAGACCTCCGCGGAGCTGAAAATGGTCGACGGCAATTTAGTGCTCCTCATTGAGCGAAAAATCACACTCTGGAACACCAGTTTAAGCTCTGCCGTCGCCTCCGGTTCCGTTTCTGCGGTTCTTCTGGACAGCGGTAATCTGGTTTTGACCGGTGGGTCGGATTCGGGCCCTAATTCTACGGCGGCGACCCCCCTTTGGCAGAGCTTTGATTACCCGACCCATACGTGGCTGCCCGGAGGTAAGATTGCGTATGACAAGCGGACGAAACAGAAACATCTTCTGATTTCGTGGAGAAATTCAGAGGATCCGGCACCCGGTTTGTATTCCCTCGAACTGGACCCGATTCAAAAACAGTACCTCATAAGGTGGAACAGGACTGAGCAGTATTGGACTAGCGGACCCTGGAATAACCATATATTCAGTTTGGTCCCTGAAATGAGATCGAATTACATTTACAACTTTAATTACATTGATAATGCTGACGAGAGCTATTTTACTTATTCACTAAATGTTCCTTCTTCTCTATTGTCGAGATTTGTCATGGATATCTCTGGTCAAATCAAGCAGCTAACATGGCTGGAGACATCTAAAGAATGGAATCTGTTTTGGTCACAGCCTAGAAAACAGTGTGAGGTTCATGCTTATTGTGGCCCGTTTTCCTCCTGTCAAAACTCCTTGCCCTTTTGTGACTGTTTGGATGGTTTTCAGAAAACATCAGACGGAGATTGGAGTCTTGATGATTATTCCGGCGGTTGTACGAGGAAGACGGAATTGCAGTGTGGAGGAAAAGACAAGTTCAATTCCTTACCTCAGATGAAGCCACCAGACAACCCACAATCTCTAAGCGTTGGGAATGGTTCCCATTGTGAATCTCTTTGTTTGGGAAACTGCTCATGCACTGCTTATGCTTATGATGTAAGCAATGGGTGCTCTGTTTGGTTTGGGCAACTCAATAATATGGAAAACGTCACACAAGACAGCGGTGGCGGGACAACCGTCAATATAAAACTTTCTGCATCTGAATTTCCAAGTGCAAAAAGTAAAGCGGCGACCATTTGGATTGGTGCAACTGTAGGATCTGTTGTTGTCATGTTGGTTCTGTTTGGGGTTATTTTCTTCATTTTCTGGAAACGACGGAGGCATCTCATTAGGACCTCGAAGGCGATGGAGGGTTCACTTGTTGCGTTCTCTTACAGAGACTTGCAATACTCAACTAAAAACTTCTCGGAGAAATTGGGGAGTGGAAGTTTTGGTTCTGTTTACAAAGGGACGTTGCCCGATTCTTTGTCTTCGGTAATTGCAGTGAAGAAACTGGAAAGCATAAGTCAAGGGGAGAAGCAGTTCAGGACAGAAGTTAGCACGATCGGGGCAGTCCAGCATTTAAACATAGTTCGTCTTCGCGGGTTCTGCTCTGAAGGGAATAAGAAGCTGTTGGTTTATGATTACATCCCAAACGGCTCCTTGGATTCATGCCTCTTTGGTGTAGAAGAAGGACCCAAATTTCTCGACTGGAAATCTAGGTAAGCACTTTAGAATTTGTATAATTCAATGAAAAGTATACGACTTGAATAGAATACATATAAGGTGATATAACACATCAGTCCGTTTCCTTAAAAAAGTACAACCTATCAGTCCATACTCATTAGGAATAGAAATATAATCAGGAAAAGTTAGTAATAGATATATTTAAGACCTTCTGCCTCATGTATATTTATTGTTCTTTCTTCACATTACAAGTGTTCATGAAAGATACATGTGTTCATATAATTTAGTTCCTCTTATATTTTCTCTTTCCACAGAGTGTTCATGAAAAAATGCAAAGACACATGTGTTCAAATGGTGTAATAATTTATTACCTATAGCATTTATTACTTTAACTCGATTTGCTAGCTTTTTTATTTTTAAAAAGATACTTATGTAGAAGTGTAGAACTGTTGTATCAACTAACACTATTATTTAATGTTTTAAAAGTAATGCCGAATACCCAAATTTTAGAGTTCTAGATCAGATGCCGAATATAAGGAGTCCTAATATTTAATATTGCTGTAGGTACCACATCGCGTTGGGGATAGCAAGAGGATTGAGTTATCTGCATGAGAAGTGCCGGGATTACATCATACACTGCGACATAAAGCCCGAAAACATTCTTCTTGATTCCGAAATGTGTCCTAAAGTTGCAGATTTCGGTATGGCAAAGCTGGTGGGGCGCGACTTCAGTAGAGTGCTGACCACAATGAGAGGAACCAGAGGTTACCTTGCGCCCGAATGGATAACCGGAGTGGCCATCACTCCCAAAGCGGATGTTTACAGCTATGGAATGGTGCTCTTTGAACTCTTATCCGGAACCCGGAACTCTGACCATTCCAGAGACGGGAAAGTGAAATTCTTCCCTTGTTGCGCTGCCCGAGTCATACTTGAAGGAGGCGATGTTCTCTGCCTGGTTGATCCGAAGCTTGATAGAGTTGCAGATCCAGAAGAGGTTTCCAGAATATGCAGCGTTGCTTTCTGGTGCATCCAAGATGATGAGAACCAAAGGCCATCAATGGGTGCGGTGGTTCAGATTCTTGAAGGGGTTTTGGATGTGAAGATGCCACCGGTCCCTCGTTCTCTTCAGGTTTTTGCTGATGATGATAGTGTCGGACAGCCCATTGTTTACTTCACCGAATCGTTGTCTTCCGGGCAAAGCCAAAGCAGTTTACAAACTCACACCAAGGCTTCTACGAATGCTTTTTTTTCTCAGCCCAAAAGTGGCACTTCTTCAACTTGATAGAACTATAGCCCTCTCATATGATTTTTTCTTCTTACTCTCCTTCTGGGCATGTACCAAAAATATATTCCTCTTTCCTGTTTTTGGAAGGGTTTGTGTGCCTACTATTATTTCTATTTTCTAATCAGTGGATGGATTGGTTCAGTAAATCACTAATAGCACTATCAATTCATTTAGTTCTTTTTCTTGAATTATACTCATATGTGTAGCAGTGTGGCCTGTATTTATCTTTATAGATTTTGATGCATCAATTTTAACTTTGGTAATTAAATGAGAAAGGCCCTTAAGTTACGCACAAAAAGTTATACTATCAAAATTGGACGGAGGTAGTATATCATTATTCATTAGTATCGATTAAAAATATTGTTGGAATTCCTAAGGGAACCGCATCAAACATGTTTCCATGGACTTCTTGATTCCACCGTTTAAGGTCATCTTTGAGAGATTTAAATCTTATATGGAACCCAAACATACCTCCTCTAATAGAATAAATTACCCATTTAGCTCGAACAAAAGTAACAAAGTATGGATGAAATCTTAATTGACGGGCTAGTTTTGTAGGAAGACTTGCCATTAAGAATAACAGGGTTATAGGGCAATGGTTTGATCAAGGATTCAAGTCATGATGAGATGCTGCGAAGAGATTCCCTTGGAACGAGTCATATTCTAAATTATTTTATTTACATTGTTTTGTTGATGACTTGCAACATTTTGGTGCCACAGTTTTGATAAATTGTTCAAGGAACGAGGAAGTCTAGTTGATCAAGGAAATGACCAAAGAATTTTTGTTTTAAAGATATGGACAAATTTTTAACAAAGGCTATTACCTTCCAAATCTTTTTAAACTCTGAAAGGATCAAATAGGCCCGCCTATTTTTTATTAGGCCATTTGGAGTGGTAAGGTTTTAGGAGTACAAAATGTTAAATTTAAAAATTTTGGACTCCTAATGATATGTAGTGGTATGTTAGAAATGGGTTAAAAATGGGTAAATAAGATAGAGGGTCTTTAAAATAAGACCCATGCTGACAAGAGTCTAAAGAAAAGGGAACAGAGGAAAATCAAGCATTGTCCTCCCGTGGAGCGCAGAAGCTATACAATTTGATGATGTCATAATGGCATCATTAAATCACAATTTTTTTATAACTCTCTTAACTTTTTTTATTTTTTTATTCAATTTTTTCAAAACATATATCAAAATTCATGAATTTTATAATCTTTCATATGACACCAATATGCAATATATAAAATGAAAAAAATAATCTGAAATTATAATTGTTGACATTTTTTTGAATCTAAAATAACAAGAAACACAAGTTTTTAATTCAGGGATCTCCACAAATTTCTCACTATTCCGCAATCAAACTTTACTTGTTCTATGTTCATTTTTGTTAACCGAAAAATGTTAAAAAAATTAATGAAATTTATTTATTTTTACATCAAAATGTGTATATTTTTATTTCATAATAATTCAGATAAAAAATTTAAAAGAAGAAGTTAGTTATAATAATTTAAATAATGTTTTACTAAATTGATATCTAAAAAAATGTGCAGAGTGTATTTAATTGATGGTGCTGGAATGCAGAGAAATAGGAGTCAAAACACTGTTTTCATATCGACGGAGTCCATTTTTGACATTTAGACTCTTGCACCGCTCCAAATGGTCTTAGTCCCAAAGAGTAAATAAATACGGAGTAGAAATGTAGAATGTAAGGCGGGTGTAACTAGAGCCCTAGGGGTGTACACCAAAGACAAGTGTAATAAATATGGGCCTACAACAAGATAGAATTGGAGGTACTGTTTCTGTGGCACAGACCTTTCCATTTAAAGATGGCACATGTGGCAATTTCACCTATTGACTCGTCAGTCAGAGAACCACAGAATACATAAAAATTCCTCAAAAAGCAAAAATCAATCATAAGCTGTTGGGATTTCCTCAGCTCCTCTTCGCCAGCTGTGCACGAATCCACTGAAGCTATGCTCATTGGGAATTACTCCTATCCTGCTCTACTTCCATCTTTCATTTTTAAGTAATTATCCTAAATAGGACTAAAATAATGATAAAGTTCCACAATAGGAGTTCCTCTTGTTTTATTCCTTAAAAAGGAGTTAGTTGTTGACTAACTCGTTTCTTTTTCCAGTTTTACCCCTCTTTACAAGCACTTACCCTTATTTTTCCGTCACACTCTCGATCTTCCGCACGTCTTCCCTCTTTCTTCATCTCTTATCCCTTGTTCTCTCTCTTCTCTCCCCTATGCGCGGGCAGACATGGATTTGCAGCCTTGTTCTCTCGTTTCTCCATCTCCATCGGTAAGTTTTCTCTTCTTTTCTCTCCTTCTCAACCTCTTCCTCCTCTCTTCTTCTTTCTTGGTTAATGAGGCAATAAAATCTTATTTGGCTAGATCGATCTAATTGAAATTTGAACCCAATCCAGATCCACACTAATTGATGAACTACCATGTTTTCTCATCAATTTATTTCTCCAACCGTATGTATCCCAAATGTGTTGTTTATGAGATTTTAAAATTGAAGATGATTGCTATATGTGTCTCGCCTCTGCTCCTAGATTAGACTGAATTTTTATTGGGTTTTTGCTTCAGTGTTCTTTATTTCCAGATCTATTTTTATTTTGTATTTTTTGATTTCTTCCTTTTTTTTTCTCTTTCCATTTTTTCTTCGGATTTGAATCTGAATTACTATTTTAATATCATAAAGTTAAAACAATCTGCAGAAAAAATATTTTCACCTAAAAAAAACAAGATATTATTAATGTTATTTTTGCAAATAATTACACACTCCGCCATAAACAATATGAGAAAAGGTTAAAATACACGTTGAAAGAGACATTATTAATATGAGAATCACAAATCCAAAACATTATTTTTTAATGTCATGTTTTTCCATGTGAAAATTTTATTTTGACATTTAATGTCATTATGATGGCAACTTTAATACTTTTAATGCCACGTTTTTGCACATTATTGCCATATGTATGCCACTAATTCCATCATGATGACAATATTATTCCCCATATAAATACATGATTTATAATGCCATGGAAGTTTCAAGATGGCAATAACATTCATATCCTCTATTTTAAATTGTTAGATGGCATTCAAACTGTCGTATGGCATTTTAGAAAACTCTTTACAGATCTGAGAATGGAGATGGTAGATCCACAAGAAACAAGGGTGGCGGCGGCAGATGAGGCGGCAGCGCTAGTGAATGAGTCAACGGTGGCGACAATGATGGTCAAGGCGGCGGCGGAGATGGCGTCGGCGGCGGAGATGACGGCGGCAGAGACTGCGGCGGCGGCGGAGATTGCGGAGGTCTGAACTAGCAACGGTGGCAGATGCATGTGGTGGGTGGAGTGTTGTACGTTCAAGAGAAGACCTTGTCTGCAACTTTTGTTTTATAATTTTATTTATACGGAGTATTTGAGTAAAGAAATGGGAGCTTTCATTAAGGAGGGTAGATTGGTCAAGCCATTTATTTTTACTCCTATGTAATCACATGGAACAATAGAGTCCTAGTTTTGCACTTTTGTTATATGTTACTTAGAATTCTCTCTTCATTTTCCTTTCTTCCTACCTCACTGCCCATGGCGCCGACACCATCCATGCAAACCAGTCCCTCTCCGGAGACCAGACCATTGTTTCTTCACACTTCGAGCTTGGATTCTTCAAACCACTTCCAAATACTACATACGTTGGCATATGGTACAGGAACATCGACCCTCAAACTGTACTCTGGGTTGCGAACAGAGAGACAGCCATTTCCGATAAGACCTCGGCAGAGCTGAGAATGGTCGACGACAATTTGGTGCTCCTCAATGAGCTAAAAATCCCAGTCTGGAACACCAGTTTAAGCTCCGTTGTCGCCTCCAGTTCCGTTTCCGCGGTTCTTCTCGACAGCGGTAATCTGATTTTGACCGGCGGGTCAGATTCGGGTCCGACCCCCCTTTGGCAGAGCTTTGATCACCAAACGCATGCGTGGCTGCCTGGAGGTAAAATTGCGTATGACAAACGGACGAAGCAGAAACATCTACTGACTTCCTGGAGAAATTCCGAGGATCCGTCACCCGGTTTGTATTCTCTCGAAATGGATCCGATTCAAAAACAGTATCTCATAAGGTGGAACAGGAGTGAGCAGTACTGGACGAGCGGACCCTGGAATAACCATATTTTCAGTTTGGTCCCAGAAATGAGATTGAATTACCTTTACAACTGTAGATACATTGATAATGCTAATGAGAGCTATTTTACTTATTCACACTTTAGTCCTTCTATATTGTCAAGATTTGTCGTGGATATCTCTGGTAAAATCAAGCAACTCACATGGCTGGAGACATATAAAGAATGGAACCTGTTTTGGTCACAACCTAAACAACAGTGTGAGGTTCCTGCTTATTGTGGCCCGTTTTCCACCTGTCAAAACTCCTTGCCCTTTTGTTACTGTTTAGATGGTTTTGAGAAAACATCAGACAGAGATTGGAGCACTAATGATTATTCCGGGGGTTGTACGAGGAAGACAAGCTTGCAGTGTGGAGAAAAAGACAAGTTTAAGCCATTAGCTCAGATGAAGTCACTAGACAATCCACAATCTGTAAGCGTTGGAAATGGTTCCTTTTGTGAATCTCTTAGTTTGCGAAACTGCTCATGCACTGCTTATGCTTATGAATAATTATGATGTAAGCAATGGGTGCTCCTTTTGGATTGGGCAACTCCAAAATCTTGAGAAGGTCACATGCACAAGATAGCGGTGCCGGGAAAACCGTCTATATTAGACTTTCTGCTTCTGAATTTCCAAGTCGAAAAAGTGAAAAGGCGGCCCTCTGGATTGTTGCAATTGCAGGATCTGTTCTTGTTGTCATCTTGGTTCTGTTTACGGTAGTTTTCTTCATTTTCTGGAAACGGCGGAGGCATCTCATTGGGACTTCGAAGGCGATGGAGGGTTCACTTGTTGCATTCTCTTGCAGAGATTTGCAATACCCAACCAAAGACTTCTCCGAAAAATTGGGGAGTGGAGGTTTCGGTTCTGTTTTCAAGGGGGCGTTGCCAATTATCCGTCTTCTGTAATTGTAGTGAAGAAACTGGAAGTATAAGCCAAGGGGAGAAGCAGTTCAGGGCTGAAGTGAGCACGATCAGGGCAATCCAGCATCTAAACCTCGTTCGTCTCCGCGGGTTTTGCTCAGAGGGGAATAAGAAGCTGCTGGTTTATGATTACATGCCCAACGGGTCCTTGAATTCATGTCTTTTTGGTGTAGAACCCAAATTTCTCGACTGGAAATCTAGGTAGGTACTTTTGAATTTTTATAATGCAATGAAAAGTGTATTGATTTATGATGGAGTCAAAGATTCATTATTTTTTGGCTTGAGAATATGACGGAATAAAGCAAAATGACTCACTAAACTGGCTCACTAAATTGTCTGCGCTTCTTTGTTATGAAGCAGAGTCAGTCCATGCAATTATGGACGCGATTTTCACCATGGGTCATCCGGTAACAGTCTCTCTATGCTTTAGTACAGGAGTAAGACTGCGTACATCCGACCCCCTACCCCACCGTAGGTGGGAGCCTTTGTGGCACTGGGTAAATGAAAATGAAATGAAAATGAAAATGAAAAGTGTATTGATTTATATGTCTATGAAATAAATAGAATACATGTGAAATGACATAAAACACACCAGTCCATATGCTCTCATTGGGAATATGAGAATATCAATATAATCGAAAAGTTGCCACGATATATATACGGAGTATAACAATCATTACCTCATACTTCGTATATATTTATAGTACTTTCATCATAGTATAGTACTATAGTGTTCATGAAAGATACATGTGGTATACAGATTTTAATTTATTTCCTTGAATAAATTCTTGCTCCACAGATCTAGTGTTCATGAAAAAAATTCAAACACGTGTCCAAATGGTATAATAATTTATTATGTAAATAGCATTTCTTACCTTAATTTGCTAGCTTTTTTGTTTAAAAAGGATGCACATGTAGAACTGTTGCATGATGCAATGCTATTATTCAAAATTTTAAGGAAAAATTCAAAATAATAATCCGAACTATTGCCGGTCCGCTAACAATAATCCCAACAATTGATTATTTTTGTATAATCTCAACTATACGGACCGTCCGCCAATAATGGTCCATGACCAGATAACAAGTGAATTTCATATAGAAATTAAGCGTAAAAATTAAAATTTAGGATTATTTATAGGGATTACTTGTTATATCTCTTCACATCCACTTTAGAAACTATAAGAATTTAATTATAGCAGGTCACGTCGGACCATTATTAACAGAAGGTCCATAAAGTTGTGATTATTTTGAAATAATCGATAGTTGGGATTATTATGAGCGGAGCGCCAATATTTGGATTATTACTATCAATTTTTCCAAATTTTAATGGTAAAGTAATGCCGAACGCCCAAATTCTAGCGCTTTAGATCCAACACTGAATACACGGAATCCTAATACGGAGTATGTAATATTGCTGCAGGTACCAGATCACAGTGGGGATAGCAAGAGGATTGAGTTATCTGCATGAGAAGTGCAGGGATTGTATCATACACTGTGACATCAAGCCCGAAAACATTCTTCTTGATTCCAAAATGTGTCCTAAAGTTGCAGATTTCGGTCTGGCAAAGCTTGTCGGGCGCGACTTCAGTAGAGTGCTGACCACAATGGATAACTGGTGTGGCCATAACTCCTAAAGCAGATGTTTACAGTTATGGAATGGTGCTCTTTGAACTCTTATCCGGAACACGCAACTCTGACCATTCCAGAGATGGAAAAGTGAAATTCTTCCCTTGAAGGGGTTTTGGATGTGAAGATGCCGCCGGTCCCTCGTCTTCTTCAGGTTTTTGCTGATGGTGATAGTGTCCAAGAACCCATTTTTTACTTCACCCAATCATCGTCTTCTGGCCAAAGCCAAAGCAGTTCACAAACATACAGCAAGGCTTCTACAAATGCTTCTTTTTCTTGACCCAAAAGTGGAACTTCTTGAACTTGATACAACTAGCTCTCTCATATGATTGTTTGTTCTTGCTCTCATTTTAGCCATGTACGAAAAAATTCTTCCTCTTTCCTGCTACTGTCATCATTTTTGAAGGGTTTGTGTGTCTAATATATTTCTATTTTGTTTCTATGGATCACAATTATACAATTTATGCTCCTGCCAAATCAAATCCGAAAACATATGGAATGGATGGATCGATAATTAGATGAATCATGATCCAAGTAAATCAATTAGTTCCCCATAATTAGGATTGATAAAAAAGATAATAGTTTCAAATAACTCTATAAAGAATCCAAATATGTTTAAATTTAGAAGATTTATATCCAATTAAAAAAAATCTTTATTATTCTTATTAGTGTTGTTTCAGGACATCAGAACGTGTAGAATATATCAAGTGATTTAATCTAATGTAATATGGAGTTCTGATTATAGATGACTCATTTAAAGATGTTTTTGATTGCACTGAAATTTTATGATCTGATCTGATTTGACCTAATATTACTGAATTTGATCTAATCTGAACTGATTTGATATAGCAAATATCAAGTCTATGGACATTGAGAAAATTTTACATAAATAATGTGTAGAACTTTGTTGAATTCTTAATTGCATTTTTAATTGTACGACAAAATTTTCATAATTCATAATTGTATTTTTATAATTTTGATTTAAGATAATGTATAAAATGTGAATAATAATGATCCTTAATTAACTTTAACTTTCATAAAGGAGATAATTTTTTTTATTTTAATTGAAAATATCCTTAATTAGAAAAGTGAACATAAATTTGAGATATCATTTAGACAAATTTGGATTTTGCAAATTTTAACACATGCAGTCTTACTATTGAAGACATATTACCTTCATTTTGAAACATTGACTTATAGAATTAAATGAACTCATTTCATAAATTCATATATGAATAGAATTCATGTTCTTGATTTTTAAGATTTGTTTTTCTCAATTATATCATTATCAAGGAATTAGTTTTTGAGGTTTCCTGTATGATTTTTAAAGTCCACTAGTGTTTTACCCGGGCGTTGCCCCGGGTGCATGTTGAGATTGTTTGAATACTTTGTAAAATATATATTTTATTCTATAAATAAATAATTCATTGTTTGACTTCATATATATATTGGATGATATGTAAGTATATATAAAAAAACATTCAAAAGTAACACAATACAATGTATCAAATATAACTATATATCTATCTAAGCTAGACTACACTAACCTAAAATAGTATCCCACCATTCCTATCCCCTTCCCCACCCACTCTTCACCTCGCGATATGTCTTTAGTCTCATTTGAAGAAGAACTAAACAATGATCTCAAAGAACAATATTCTTCCTTGTGATATAGGAAACACAACTATAATCACATCGGCTCTCAGCTCACTAACTCCCTTCAAAACATACACACTTTTGAACATGCACACTTTTGATCTAAAGTCTCCCCACGAATAACAATCTTCATTCTGAATGGCATATGCTCATTTTTCATATATCACAATTGCATGACGTCTCTCACCATAAGGCTTAAACATTACAACAAAGTTGGAGATTATATTTGCAAATAAATTGTCTATTATTAATAAGTGTTCATTCGGGGTTGTTTGACAATTTTTTGGGTCAAATAGCCCCATTATTATTGTTAAACAGCCCCAAAATAAGTGTCTATTATGGGGATAATAGACAATTTTTAATAATAATGGGGTTGTTTGACAATTATTGTTAATAAATTGTCTATCCTTAATAAGTGTCAGATTTGCAATTCATTTCAATGCGGAGCGAGTATTTGTTTCATATACTAAAAATAGTCATGGAACAAATATAAAAAACATCTCATACAATTCCTTAATGTATTAGTTTGTAGGACATTTATTCTTATCACATTTTTGTGTATATAATATGGGCCCCCTTGTAGATAAAAATAGATGTGTTAAACTATTTTAATTATTACACAATGTATACATATTCATTAGAAAACCGGATTCAAAATTTAAAATAAATCAATCTATTTATTTTCCGTTTCGCCAATGCATGCACATACATTCGGCAGAAAATATGAATCCTAGAATAATATGGAGAACAAAACAATAACGGTAAATATGTTTCATATTTAATTCAAGAATATAATATCACCATGTGTTCATAATTAACTTATTATATTATATACATTTGATCACTACTAATTCAATTACTTATCTCGATAATCCATATGTGAAATGAATATGGAGAATGTAAAAATTAGAAATTATTTATTATTTCTTCTTATCCTAAGTACATACACATTTAGTATACTAAACTTATCACATACTTTTATGGAAGATATAAAAATATAGATAAATATGATTTATATTTAATTTGAAGAATCACACAATGTGTATGTACTCACAATTTACTTGTTATTTTATCCTTTATCAGTATTTTATCAAATTATCAATTCTTTAATATGAAAATCTCAATTCAAATTTTTAAATTTTAATTTTATTGGGTATCTTATAAGAAAAGTAATCATATGTTTTTAAATTTCTAAATAAATATAAAATCCAATTTTTAAATTCAATTTATTCTTTTATATTTTTTATTTTTAAAAATAAAATAATTTTCAAGATTAAACCCAATTTAATACTGTAGCATAAGAAATTTATACTACATACTTTACATATGCATAAATATGTATGAATATGAAATGAAATTACTTGACATGTGTTTTCAAGAAAAGTTGTACGGGTACATAAGAATCGAACTCATGATTATCGCATATTATTGGTAGTCCGTACATCACACCAATAAATAGGTTCATTCACAAATTAAAATAGGGTTTATTCACAAAAATAGTTTAGTTCTAATGAAAAGATAAAATCGAAACTTCTTATTTGATGAGTGAATAAATAAGTTCTATATATGAATTGACCAAAGACGTATAAAATTGAAAATTCTTTTTCAATATAGATTTTTATGAATAGCTAAAATCTGACCAAAGATGTATGAATAGCATTCGTAAGAGCAAATGAATTATTGACATATTTTAAATATGGAATTTAATAAACGTTAGTTTCAACAAAATATTATGGAGTATTTCATTATTAAGAAAATTGTAGGATTCTAATAAACGTAAACCATATTAATTGCTACATTGATTTTGTACTTGATAGCAATTACTTAATTTATCAATTGTACTCAATAGCAATTTATTAATTGTACTCAATAGCAATTAATTGATAATTCAATTTCAATTGGATGGTTGTACTTTATTAGTAAGGAAGTAGATTTTTTGCATTCCAATCCTTTTTAAAATATTTTTTCGAGACAAATATGAGAGTTAAAAGGATGTAAATCTAATTTTTGACGTTTCCAAGTATGTAGTTAAAACCTTCTAAAAACTAAAATTGTCATGTTTGCGGGAACTAAACACATATTCAACCCTTAGTAAAATTGACGTTAGCTTATTGTAACTCAACATTGTTCTCTGGTTAAATTGACAGGAGTTACTATAAATTATATCATTTTACCTATTTTCCCATAACATTTTCCATATTCTCTTAATAAAATATATTTTAAATACTCTTTCAATCCCATTTTGTAAGATATTTTTTCCCATTCACTTCGTAAACACAAATCACTTTTAATCTCTTACTTTATATATCAAAATTTTATCAAATTTAATTCTGGTTTTTTCGACTTTGTAAAGTTTTTAATGTAGTTTCTAAATATGTAATTATTATTATTTTAAATAATTTGAGTGCGTACAGGGATCCGTTTTCTTTATCGTCGGTCAAATAATTAAAATACCACAAAAATTGAAGGGGTGTGAGATGAACACCTCAAACTTGCATATGTATTTTAAATACCAAAAACTTTATATAAAAAGTTATTTTGGCACCATAGTCAAGTATTATTTCTTTCAAAAATGTAAATTTATGGTGTTAATTGTATAATTTAAAATATTTTAGAATTCATGAAAACACAATTAACATTATAAACTTCCATTGCAATTAATGCAATTAACCCCATAAATTTACATTTTTGGAAGAAATAATACATGACAAGGGTGAGAAAATAACTTTTTATACAAAGTTTGAGATATTTAAATTACATACGCAAGTTTGGGGTGTTAACTTCACACCCCATCAAGTTTGGAGTATTTTTATTATTTTTCCCATAAATAAAAGTGATGGGGTTTGTGCGGTTTTATTCTAAGCTAGTTATCACTTCTCTTTAATTGTGGATTTGTGGGCATTGTAAAAAACGATCCCAAACTACAAAATTAATAGAATTAATTTTTATTTTTTATATATGCAACATTGATGTCGCATGACAGATAAAAAAATTATGAATTTGATATAGTTTTATATCAGTCCGAGTACAATAAAAAAGATATAGCACTTTTAAAACACATTTTTTAATGTTAAATTATTTTTTATTTTTATATATTCAATATTGGTGTCATATGAAAGATAATAAAAAGTTATGAATTTTGATATATTTTTTATAACAGAATACAAATAAAAAAATTATAGCACTTTAAAATAATTTAATCATGAGATATTATTGTGGTGGAGTCCTAATAATATACTTATAATCTACCAAGGAGTCTATTTATATATATGTAGGAGTAGGCATGGCCTCGGTTCGGGCCGCCCGGCCCGGGACCGGCCCGGCCCGGCCCTGTTTTCCGGGTCCGGGTCCGGTTCGGGCCGGAGGCCCGGGGGTGGGGCGGTTCCGGGCTCGGTTCATGGGTTTGACGGCCCGGCCCGGCCGGTTCGGGCCCGGGTCCGGGCCAAATCTATTTTTTTTTAATTTTTTTCATTTGTTTTGGGCTGTTGGGCTTGGGCTATCTGTTTAGGCCGGTTTGGGGGGGTTTGGGGGGGTGGGGGGTGGGGGGGGGGGAAGAAAGGAGAAAAAAAAAAAAATTAAACCGGGTGGCCCGACCGGCCCGGCCGGTCCGGCCCGGAACCGGACCCGGGACCGCCCTACCCCGGTTCGGGCTCGGGCCTGCTATTACTGAACCGAGGCCCGGCCGGGCCTAGGCCCGAGGCCCGAACCGGCCCGGTTCAGTCCACCACTATGTAGGAGATAATGAGATATCTTTGAAGGAGTATAACACCCTACGTATGACGAAGTGTGTGAAATTGTGATGGAATGAAATTGTTGAGAACATGACATCTGGCAAAAGTTTCCTAAATTATATCTTTGAAATGTATTATCTATAGATAGATTTAGTTTTTAGTTTTTGTTATTTATAATCGTTTGAAATTTGTAAAATATTAATCAAGAAATCACTCATAGCCGTTGGAGTGGAACGTAAAGTATTCATTATTTTAATTCGATTGAACTAACTCTAAGAAATAGATTAATTACGAGTACAATATAATGCATACATATTTACTTTCATAGTATAAAAATCTAAAAGAAAATTATTAATATGGACCGGGACGGGCTGGTCAACCGAAACCAGTCTGGGACCAGAAAAACCTGTGCCGACTCAATTTGCCCCTCCTGCACCTTAAAACTGTCCAATCCTGGAGCCAAAACTGGCCCGAAACCAAACTGGTCCACCCATACCTATAAAACTCTAAAAGTAGAGAACCTACTAAATGGGCTAAGAGGGGATGCTTTTATTTTCGTGTGTGGACAAAAGACGGTCTTACTTTTAAACCAAACCTATTCCAATTCCTCCGGGCTCCGGGCTAGGACCAGACAGATCCTGATATGTTTAAATAGACTAAGAAAGCGGAATCACATCCTAGGATAGCCCATTATAGTTCCTGTTCCGCCAATCACAAGAGCTAGATGACAGAACTGGATCGAGTCACCCTAGTCATTCTTAGAAGGAAGGCATGTAGACATAAATGAAGTATTTTGCTGAGTGAAACGGGAGTTCAGAGATACAGCGCCGTAAATGACAGCTAACTAAATTTGCTGCATTTGAATGTTTTATAACAAGATCTCAAGAACCTAATAGTAAAACGTGTACTTAAGATAAAGATCAGGCATACAAAGTCGATTCAATGATATAACAACATTTTGGTGTCGCAAACATTTTACCATGTTGGTCTTCACTCCAGTTGATCTGCTCCCATTCTCACGAAAACTGTATTGGGTCGGGCTGAGGCAGTGCAACACCCGAACTAAACTTAAGCATCTTTGAAGGCCTCTCTCCAGTTGGGGAGTTGAGCGGAGAGTCCTCGTGGCCACCAGAATCTGGGGTTAGAGGTTCATGACGAGAGAATGACAATTCATCAAGACACAAGCTATTTGGTCGTGCTCGCTCCTTTGCAAGCTTGTTGTTGTCACCACATGGAGGCTCGGATGTTGGTGCAGGAGTAGACGGGTCAGGCACGGTATTAGATTCGGGTGTTTCAGAGAGAACCCCACTGAGCCGTTGTTGCTCTTCTATTATCTTCTTCAAATACTTGCCTTGAGCCTCTATCCTTAGTTGTAGCTGGCGTTGGACCTGTTATAGCCATATATGAACAGTAAAGTTGAACACCATAATGCCTTTTCCCACAAAACTAATAACAATAAGTTCCCAAAGGAAAACCATAAGGGTATGTTTAGAATGCGGGAAATGGTAGGGGAACGATAATAAAATTGGCAAGGAATACTGTGTTTTATTTTACGTGTCTCCTTTGGTTTTGGCACAATTTTTAATAAAGTGGTTGAAAAGGTAAAAGTTGTGGTTGAAATTTGAGCAAAGTGAAATGTTGTGAACCACATATTTCTTTCCAAAAAGGGAAAGATGACATTTATTTTGGGACAACCCAAAAAGGAAAGTAAGCCAGGTAAAATGGGACGGAGGGAGTATAATTTTTAAATGTTGTTTTAACTTGGGAAGTGTAAAAAAAGTTAAATTGATTAAATATTTTTAGGAATTATTTGTATACATTTAGTGTATACTTTAGAAATATATATAAAAAGTTTGAACATAAATACATAAAATACATCTGTTGAGTTAAAGTATATCTTTTTAGTAGAGTCCATCATCAACATCGACACTAGAAAAAGTTCAACTATGTTTGGGACTGGTAGCATTAAAGTAGGGCTGGGAAAAAACTCCCGACTCCCGACTTCCAATCCCGATTCCGACAATCCCGATCCCGATAATCACGATCCCGACTAGTCGGGAATTTTTCACGATCCCGACTAAATCGGGACGGGACCAGGATTTTTTTTTTAAAAGTCGGGATCGGGAAAATACCGACATCCCGACATTATATATATATATATATATATATATATATATATATATATATATATATATAAGAATATATAAAAAATGAATATGTATCTAAATAATTTCATACCTTTTTTAATTACTTATTTCTTACATAGATTAATCTTTTACTACGAGTATCTTACAATATCAAACTTCTAAAACTATTCGGCATTTGTGCCAAAATGAATATTCGGGATCCTAACTAAATAGAGATTATTCTTGATCCCGACAATCTAAATCACAACAATATTACAAATTTTGCGATTCTGATGAACCCTTTAAAAATCATGATCGAGACTAAGATTTTTTTCTTTAGTAAATAATCATAATATGTATTTATACATTATATTCATTGGTCACAACTCACAAAGTTTCTGAATGAGTACTTAGTTTTGAATTTTAAATAATATACGTTACACATCCTTCTTTTAGTGATTTTTATATAATGTTTGAAGTAAGTTTCACTAAATCTTGATAGCTTATTCAAAAATTATACTATTAATTAATTGAAGTTACAAATAAAAATTATTCTAAAAGTATGTACAAGTGTGAATTTGTGATGATAATTATTAGAATAAATTTTATAAGTAGATAGATGATGATAAATATGGTATAACAATGAACAAAAAATATCAAAGTTAGTGTTTAACTAAAGAAGTTACATAATTTTATGTTTGATACTTCATTGTCGGGATTTAGCGGGATTAAGCGGGATTCCCGATCGGGATCCCGACTTAATCGGGATTTTAATGTCGGGATCCCGACTTAATCGGGACGAGATACGGGATCCTCTTGTAGTTTGATCCCGATCCCACCCCTACATTAAAGTGAATGTCAACTAATTTTCAAAAATTACTCAACAATGTAAGCTTGTGCAAAAAAATCATAAAAAGGAAAGAAGGCAGCCTGGTGCACATTGCTGCCCCCGCAATGTCAGGGTCCGGGAAAGGGTCCCACCACAAGGGTGTAAGGAGACGAAACAGAATTGAGACGCCTAATCAATATAGTACCAATTCCTAGGATGACTATGGCGGAAAAGGAAAGAAAACGACGAAACAGAAATGAGACACTTCAAGAGGTCTCTCTCCCAGCCCAATTCTGATAGGGACCGAGACACAACTACTAATAAGAATCTTATTAAGGATTTTAATATTGTACAATAAGAGCGGCAGGCCCGTTAGGATATTAATATAAGAACAGCGGTTCGGGAAAAAAGGAAGGCAAACAGAATTTGGGATCCAACTGGGATCTGGGAGAGAGACTGCTCGAAGTGTCTCACTTTTATTTTTCTTTCTGTTCATCGTGCTTTGTACGCCGTTTGCTTTCGTTCTGCCATTGTAATAGCTAAGGATTCTGAGAACTTCTCTAAATCCAGATTTAATACGCATACCTCTTATTCCAACTGAATTTCTGCCTACCTCTTATTCTTCACTCTCCTGCTATTTATACTACTACCTCCGTCCCACTATGTTTGGGACAATTCAGTTTACGATGCTTGACTGATGATAAAGCAAACAGATCCCTGTCCGCACTTAAATTATTTTTAGAATAAAAAAATTGCATATTCAGAAACTTCATTAAAAGCTTTACAAAGTCGCAAAAAGCAGAATCAAATTTGATAAAAAATTGATATATAAAGTAAGAGATTAAAGTGATTTGTGTTGACCAAGTGAATTGTGTCTGGGACAATCTTAGCGGGACGGAGGGAGTACTCTTTAATATTATTAGTAATAGCCTATTCCGCCCAGGTCCTATCATATGGCACCATTGACATTCAAGATAACACAAGACACTAAGTCAGACCTTTCAGTAATACGCATATATCTTTAAAAGTTGATATGTGAATGACAACGAACCTCAAGTTGCTCGTGTAGTCGCTTTTGCACTTCCATCTGCAGCTTTAGTGCTTCAGTAATTTGCATTCCACTGTTAACGAGAGGAGACTATATTGTCATTAAATAAAATAATAATATCAAGTAAAAACAGGGGAGGATCTAAGATTAGGGAAATAAAATCTACTCACGATGACCCATCTAAACTAGAGAGCACATCCTTTGACTCTTTTTTGTCAGCTCTTTTACCTGTTGAATAAAATTTACAATAAAAATTAATTTTAAACGAGAATCAATAGCACATATTGCAGTTTTTTAAGATATGAAGAAGCCTACCATCAGAAGAGGATTCAGGAAGGTATTTGGCAAGTCGGTATTTCTGGATGCACCAAACATATAGAAATAAATAATGTTATGACAGCATAAAAGGCTCCTTAAGCGTCCATTTAGAATATGATAGGGAAAGACAATACTGAAGAAAATAGAGAGGAAATTTGGAAGAATATAGAATTGTGGAATGACACAAAATAATTCAATAAATAAATTTTAGATTATTATTCAAATTCACTTTATATATATATATATAATAAAAAGACCTGAAACATAAATATATGTAAACTTTTGAAATTTCATAATCAGAATTGATGTTTGTTTGCTTTTTCCAAAAGGTAAAACAAAACATAAAAACTATTTTTGTTAGTACTTTCCTCCTTTCCCTGCCATTTTCTGTGTTCCAAACATTGCCTAAAAGAAACATGTAAAGTGTATATTGCAGATACCAGAGTTATCATTTGTCTACCTGTAAATGGCTCTTTACATGGTAAATTGTCAACCCTTGCACGCCCATGACTCTGAGGACACCTTTCGGAGTAGCCCCTGAACCATTAAACACAATCTTCCATTTAATTTAAAAAGAGTATACAACATCAACAAACCGTTCATGAAGCTTGATTGTCAAATGCAGGGATGAAGGAAGTAGTTTAATAGCATCAAGAAGACACTTTGAGGGGATATATATAAGTAATCAAAACTCACTATCTGGTCCACCAAGTTGAGCCACAGCATCAACAAACCGTTCATGAAGTTCATTTGTCCAACGCAGACGTTGTTTTGAAGCCAGACTCGGGCTGTTGTTGAGGGTATTCCCCCCGCTACCTGGATCCATTGTGTTTGGACAAGAATCTAAAGTCTGAACATTGATAGTGTTGTTGTGTACCATGTTTGAACTAGAAACACCGTTTGGAGAATACATTGCATTACTCTGCAGAAAATAGTGAAAATAGCAAGGAAAACATTATATCACAGCCAACATGAAAAACTCACCAAACAAATAACTACTAATAACTATAACTATAGGGTCAAAATATAAAAAGTAGGAGAGAAGAATGAAAAAGTAGAGAAAGTAAGGGTCTTTATGTGATGAAAGACTTGCCAATATAAAGTGTTACACGTAATAAAATATCTCCGGAAAAGGAATATATTGCAAGCAAATAAATACGGAGTGATATTTGGTTTAGACTTTTCATTAATTTTATATAGTTAAATGTGCAATTTTATTTTAAATTTTGTTTTAAAAAACTATTTGCACATGAAACTGAATAAAACAAAAATACAAAACTTGGCCAAATATTTTTGCATGACATAACAATATAGCATTGTAGACTTTGTAGTATCACATAAGTACATAACACAGTTCTCATTGAAGTTTATTTCTTCATATGTTACCATGTAGATCTTGCTAAATTTGCAATAATGGCTTATAGCTTTCACAAAAAATGATACATCTACAGAGTATGTTAAAACCCGAGTTGGGCTAGATTTTAACGCTGGGTGATTTATGACCCTTTCCCCACAACAGCTATAAATTATATACTACGGAGTAAAATAACTTAAACTACAAAAGTCCAGAATAAGAAATTGATTCTAGCCTTCAGTTGCTCACTTTTCCATATGAGTCTCTTGTTCTCTAACCTCCACAAAATAACCTCAAAATTCTGCCATGATCAAACAATCAGTACTCACACGCCTCTAAAAGTCTCCATTCTCCACACTGAGTGTTTGTGTAAAAAAACAATCTTCACTATTTTTTATCAACCTTTATTGAATGCTTTCTATTACAAACCTTGCTAAATGACACAGTTTATATCTTTTCCCCTGGCATAATTTGGAGCAACTGATCGGGAGATATTGCAGTGTTGCGATTCCTGTTTGAATAGGAACCACATACTATGATATGTATCATATCTTGATCAATATGATTATTCTTTTGTGTAACATCTGCGAAATGCCTGAAGCACACATCTATTTATAACTTTATCCAATTATCCTATGTGATTTCACCCCACATAGGACATTATCTTTAAGCATGAAAAACAATTATAATCTAAAAACTTGCTTTGACTTCACTGTGTCTTCAAATATCTTAAATGAAAATTATGAAACACAACTTCCTTTGTTTCAACTTAGCATAAGCCAATGCTATGACTCAATTCGTAAAATCAGCTGCTGCGTGTAAGTGCTGAAAGGTTTTAACTAGTGAATCCAAGCAAAGCATAAACTTTACACAGATTCTTACCATCATCTGACAAATTTCACTTGGAACACTTAGTCCCAGACAAGTGACTACATCAACTACTCAATCTAGCATAAAGGCCCTTCAATGTTATTGATTGAGCTTAGAGAAAAAGAGACCTACCATTAATGGAAATGTCATTCCTTTTACGGAAATGTCATTAAATAATTATATTCTTGGTTGGAGTTGTGTGAAGCAGCTTTAACAGCAGCTATAATTTTACTTTTTATCCTTCTAGCATACAAAACACAAGCACAGTGATCTTAAAATAAAAATTCACCTCCATAAGTGAAACAGTCAAACTAAACCGCGTAATTTCTAATGGGTACACAAACGCAGAGTTTCTTTGAGAATGAGGGAAATTACTTGTGCATATTCCTAAAACATAGGCATAAATTCCTTAAAGCATAAATCTTTAAAGCTTCAAAGCTTCATAAATTATAATTGGATAACCAGGTCAACTGGAGATTGTATGGTATTGAAACCAGGTTACCCAATTGAAACCAAAAACCGACCAGAAGTGCCCACCCCTAAGCCACTAGTGAGAAATGTGGAGTAATGGGTTACACTTGTTTTTAAAAGTAGTGATAATGGTTTAGCATAACATATTTATTTTTTAGCACTAAAATAACTGAGTAATAATAAGGAACCTTGTGCAATGGAGCCAAAGACTCACTATCTTTTGGCTTGGGAATATGATGGAATAAAGCAAAATGGTTCACAAAACTGTCTGCGCTTTATTGTTATGAAGCATCAGTCAGTTTATGCAATTTTCGATGCGATTTTCACTACGGGTCATCCGGAAACAGACTCTTTGTGCATTAGTGTAGGGGTAAGACTGCGTACATCCGGCCCCCCTTACCCCACTGTAGGTGGTAGCCTTTGCGGCAATGGGGTAACGATGATGATAACCTTGTGTCAACCTCCGGTGCGGGCAGTATTTTTTCTTTGAAGGCCCTCTACAAATGCCATAAAATCCAGCCCTCAATGACTTATGTAAAAGTAAAAGTCAAATTAACATGTTAATGTATATACTTACACTGAAATCGTGAATCAATGTATTACGGTGTGTATATACACATTATAACACAGCTTTGTCAATACGGTTTTATTCATAGCTCTGGTATTTATAACAATTTTATGGCATGAATGATTGACAAAACTATTATTCATAACTACAGCTCTTTTTTTGAAGCCACATTAATATGATCAAATGTTAATGCAATTTTGGACCCAAAGATTCATTATTTTTTGGCTTGACAATATGATGGAGTAAAGCAAAACGGCTCACTAAACTATCTGCGCTTCATTCTTATGAAGCAGCAGTCAGTCCATGCAAATTTGGACGCGATTTTCACTACGGGTCATTCGGAAACAATCTCTATGTGTTTTAGTACAGGGGTAAGACTGCGTACATCCGACCCCCCCTACCCCACCGTAGGTGGGAGCCTTTGCGGCACCGGGGTAAATGAAAATGATGATGATTAATATGATCAAATGTAATTTTAATCGACTCAAGTGTGGATATAATGGTGGCAATAAATTTAATAAACACAAATTGGTCATAGCCAGATTAAGAGTGCACTGATCAAGCTTTTGTTTGTTAACTTTGTTTATATCGCTTTTAGGTTTTAGGGCCAGTCCTGTATGTCTCAAGGCCTAGGGAAGGACAACTTAATAATAGCATACACGTATCAAACAAACTTTTCCATTGAACTTTTTTTACTTAAGGCCACTTTCTCTAATGTTCTCTTTTTTCTTTCTCCATCCACATTCAATCATTTTATTACACCTTGAAATTAATTAAATTTATAAATTTAATTATAATTGAAATTTTTACTTGACAATTAAGAACAGGGACGGATCCAGGATTTCTATTCAAGGGGGGCGAAATTTTTCGGTAGTGTAGGGGTGAAAAAAATTTCATTAGTGTAGTGGGGCGAATTTTTTTCCCTAGTGTAGCGGGCCGAATTTTTTCCGCTACTGTAGGGCTATGCGGCTAATTTTATTCAAAAAATGACATTAATACATACACATCCCCAACGACATTTAAATCTATTAAGTAGTACATTCTAAGTTTAAATTAGACGATGACAAAGACATCAACCAATACATTTTTAATAACTTCTACATTGTTTAACCTCATGAATCGGTTATTATTGAATTGTAATTTTTGTCCGGCCACCAAGGATGGTGTTCGTGAGTCATGACTCATGAGAAGTTTTCTTAATATTACAATAGTAGTATGTATGATATTATTATTTTTAGAATAATATGCACCACATACACACACATATATGGTGCATATTATATTTTAATATTTGTATTAATGCTATAATAATTTAAAGTTTATTATCTATGCAATAAATTATTTTTAGAAAGCAAGAAGTAAATGAATTATGTAATTTAATGTCAATAAACATTTATATTTTGGATTCATTTCACGTGATCTAAAAACTGTGTAATTAGTGTGTCTGATATTTAATATTGTTTGATATATATTTTACAAAATCAAGTACTTGTTATCTAATAAAGATAATTAAACATTACAAAACTAGGAATTCTTATATAATAAGTATCCTAAATCTTAAACAACAAGTTATTCTATTGTTTATTTGTTTAAGTTATGTAATTATTTTAGATGTTCCTTCTTTTAAATCTTCAATTAAGTATTACATTATGTAACACTATATATTAATTTTGAAAATTAAAAGCTAAGGGGGGCGAATCTAATTAAATTATGAAAGTTTAATGAAAATATTACATATATGGTAGAAAATTTTGAAATTCCAAGGGGGGCGGTCGCCCCCCGCGCCCCCCCTAAATCCATCCCTGATTAAGAATATGAACTAAACATTTATTAACACTTAACAGCCGACAAATCAACTTTTTATAAACATTAAACAACTATGAATGAAATCAATTAATAAACTAATCAAAGAATCAGATTAATCAATAAATGAAAAGTCTAAAACTCTAAAACAGTTAAGCCATTGACTCATTAAGGAATGAGGAAGGAGGCCGGAGGAATACCTGAAGACTTAACTGCTGAAGCGGCGAGGGCGTGAGGCAGTGAATCCAGAAGGTTAGCACGGCGCACCTGCTGGTCGCCTGGACTGAGAAGCCGATAAGGGGAAGGACGGCAGCCGGAAGGCGGCCAAGCGTCGGCGGCTGGCGGTCCGCGGTCAGCGACTAGGCCCTTGGCGTTCGTCGATGTCGATCCGATTGGCTGCTGAGCTTCTCCTCCAGTCCTTTGTTCGGCTAATTGGCTGTTGTCCAAGATGCCAGTCTCCGTTTCCTGGTATGTTTTTACTCGTTCATTTCAGTCTCACACACATCAAACATTCAAACCCTTTTACTAAATACTCCGTAGATGAAATCAGAATTAAATACATACACAAACTTTGAGAGTTGTTAAAAACTACCTCCCTCTCAAAATATACTTCCCCATTTGAATTGACGGGCTTATTAAGAAAGTAAGAATAAAATGGAAATGTATGATTATGGTTGACTAAAAAAAGTAAATGAATGTGAGTCAAACAAAACTTTCCACAAATGAAAATGAAAAGTACTTTTTGGAATGAGCTGAAAAGAAAAGTGAGAAGTATTTTTTTGAAGTGTCAAATAACAATGACAATTCAAGCGCCACTTTAAGCATGTCACACTCATGATAAAATTGAAACATATAACACATAGTTCCAATATCTGTTATGGTAACGCCCTTGATGGGTTTCCAAACAGATGTCATAGTGTCTCTAAAGATAGAGAAACGTACCGATTTCTCCGATGTTATTGTGCCAATTAAAGTTAAGGTTGCACCACTTCCACCAAAATCGCTGCATCTCCCTCCTCCATCTCCATTCTTCCATAGGCTTGAGCAAGAGTCTCAACCTCTTCCTAATGGTTATTTTTTGTTTCGAGAATCTGGCCCCGTAATGTGTGGGAACCTGCCGCGTGTTGCCGTCGAACTGGCAACCTGCTTGATCACTGCCCTGCATCCATGCTGCTGGACTCCATCTCGCCGAGAGAAAGCTTTGCTCTGTGGGAAACGAACTGCTGCGAACCGGGAATGCTGCGGACGAAGAGAGATTGCCGCACCAAATCTTTATTGACGATCTGGCTTGAGAAAAATCCATGCAGACAAAGGAACTGCCGCACCAAAAACCCTAGGATGACCTCATCGTCCTATTGGTAAAAAGATTATGAGCCTGTTTGGTAACACTCAAATTAGTTGAATCGGTTGAATCAATTGAAATTAATAAGATTCTTGCTATAATGATTGAATTCGCTGAATGTGTTGAAATATGAAAAAATCACATTTAAAATATTCCTTAATCTTCTAACTAAGAAAAAATATTGAAAATAGCTAAAATAATCATCTAATGTAATTTCATCCAATTAAGCAAAAAAGGTTATTTCGATGCCTTCCAGGTTTAAAAAAACAACGTTATTTCGATCTTACTTATTTTGATTATTCCATAACTGAACACGTTGAATCAAAAGTTAAGTGTCTACTAAAAAAATTGATTGATAACTGATATAGATAAATTAAAAATAAAGGTTACCAAACTATCTAAAACTGGCAATGGTCTAATAATTATTAGCCCAAAAGAAGAATTTTTTATTTATTTATGACTGCATCATTGATATTATTATAAAGAAATTAGGCGTTTTTCCTTGAATATTACCTAATTGAAGCAAATTTCTAAAAAAGTGGCAATTTTTATAAAAGGACAAAAATGTTACTTAGAAGGTCACATTTATGGAAAACATGATGTCACTGCTTCTTATGTCACTGTCAGATTTTTATGTTACTATCATATTTTTATGTCACTTTTCGGCAACCTTTTCCGGCGAAACAGTTGATCACCACCACCAGCGGCCCCGCCAACCACATTTATTTCATGTCACTGCGGTTTTTTCGTGTCACTATGATTTGTCACTGTTAAATATTAATGTCACTTACGGATGTCACTGTCATCAAAAAACATGTCACTATAATCATTTCCGTTGAGTAAAATTGTTTCCGCCAACACTGCGGCCGATCAGCCGACACCGACCCCCACACCCAGCTCCCGCACACCCGGCAACTGCCACCGATGACAACCACCGCCCTAACCGTGACCACACCAGCCCCCTCCCCAACCCACAAGCCTCCTAACAGCCTACCAGCCCCCTCCCCATCCCACCAACCCCCTCCCCAGTCTACCAGCCCCCTCCACAATCCCCAAACCCATTGACCACCAGCCAATGTTCGGCATTGCCTCTGGCGCCACCGCCTGCATCCTCCCAAGCCCCAGCCCCTCACCTCCCATGCCTTGCCTACTGCTGCCTCAATCCCTTAGCCCAACCCTCCTCTACAACCTGATTCTGCTCCAGCATCCCCACCCTAGCCGTTCGATCTGGATTTGGATCGCCCGCCGGAGCGCTGCAACACATCACAGATTTCACCAAGCTATCTGGCTTACCGCAGCAACAACTTAGCCGCCGACCAAATCTAGTCACCTCGCCCTCAGCCAGAGACATCGTCGACCACCAATCTCCTCCATCCACCGCCACAGATAGAAATCGCCGCCAATTTCAATCCCAATCGCCGGTTAGAAAAACAAGAAGAAGGAGAAGAACGGCAGAAATTGCGGACGATGGCGAGCAGTGGACAAGGAGAGAGATCGGGTATGGAGATGGTGGGAGGTGGATGACCAGCGTGAATCGTGTGGCGGCGTGGCGCAGGTCATGGGCACCTGGGCAGCAGAGTGAAGACCATCGATGGAAGTTTGAAAATATGAGAACTGAGATGATAGAGAGACGTAAGCTCAGATCGGGTGAGTCGTGAGTGACCTTTCTACATTAAATCGTATTTTTGGAAAAGGAAAAAAATCATATTTTTGTCATTGAAAAGCCCAGCTGTGATGTCCATGCCATTCTCTCCAAAATTAATTAGGAAGTAGGGCTGCACAAGAATAACCCGAACCCACATAACCCGCCCGACCCAACCCTACCTGATCCTATTTAATCGGGTATTCGATTTTAAAAATATTCATGGGTTAAATATGTTTGAACCTGTACCTAATTGGTAGGGTTGCGGAATTAAAATCTCAAATCCGATAGTAGCCGACCCGGCCGAAAGTTCAATTTAGGGAAAGTTCCTGAAATAGGACCAAAAACGTTTGTAAATTCCAAAATAGGACTGTCATGTTTTTATTCCCAAAATAGGAGTAATTACTGTCAAGATTGGAAAATACTGCCATGTTTAAAGTCTGGTACTGCCAAAACATGACAGTAATTAGTCCCATTTTGAGAATGAAAAGCATGACAGTCCCATTTTGAAATTTACAAACGTTTTTCGTCTTATTTAGGATAAATTCTCTTCAATTTACTATAATGATGCTACAATGGTTTCTTGGATAATTTCAATTCAAGATCAATGTGCTCTATCTCAGACTTTATGATATTAGAATTATAATTAAACATTTACTATTTTGATTAGGTGATTATTATATATATACGTTTCCTTCTAAATGAACTTCCTTTACGGAAGGATGTTTTAATAACATTACCTAATGTTTTTGCTTTTAAAAGATACAAGTACTTGTATTTGTTTGTGTGTTTTAGAAACAAGTTAATCGAGTTTCAAATTGGTTATATTGATTTCCCACACGAAAGATGTTACCCGAATTAATTTCTTTTCCCAAAACCCGACCCTACCCGACCTGTTCATGTATGGTTTACCAACTTATTTTGCGTACTACGGGTTGATTAATAGTCAATCCGAACAAATTGTGTAGGCCCAAAAAATATAGGAAACCCGACCCAACCCACCCGATGTGCAGCCCGGCCTATTAGGACGTATATAAGAGTATAAGACGACTTGGTAGTTGACCGAGAGAAGAGTAGTTGAAGCTAACCCCAGATCGATACAAGACTGCATGAATCAAATAATTAAACCCGCCTGTCTTAAAACGATGTACTTCCTCCGTTCTTTTTTAGTTGCAACAGTCTACTTTTAATTTTTCACGTTCGTTTTAAAAAAATCATATTTTGAAAATTTAAAATGAGAAGAATTTAATAATATTTTTAAAAAAATTTAATTTATAATTTATTACATAGTAATAAATAAAATATAGTCAAAGTAGAATATGTGAATAATGAAAAAAATACAATGTTGCAACTAAAAGAGAACAGTAATTACGTACATATATGCACTAATTAAATAGCACGACAGAATTAAACGAACATGACAGTTGCAAGAAATCGATGATTCCTAAGATAAACGAACGCTCTATACTTAAATTACAATAATAATCCAGCCAGGCCAAGACACCTTCAAATCTGCATGCCATTATTACGCAAGCTTCAAGCTGCTACATACGTACTAGCTAATAATCAAATCATCAGCGACGAGCCGGAGGAGTGAGGCTGCCAGCATCCTCGCCGCCGCCAGCTGCTACAGGCGGGTTGGGTACCTCCACACCCGGGTTAGGGAGGAGAGTGTCATCTCCGCCGGGAACATAGCCGGAGCCGCCGCCTATTATGCCATCGAAGGGGTTGATGGCGCCAGTTCCGCCGCCACTCTTGCCGGTGATGGGGTTGTAGTTGAATGGGTCAACTATTTGACCCTTGGGCGGGATGACTACGCGGCCGAAGCCGGGAATCAAAACGGTCCCGTCGTAACCGTGGAGAAACTCAGGATGGAGTTTTTTGTCCACATTCTTGGACGCCTCGTTGGGGATGCCACGCCCGGCCGCCATGGCAGGGACGCTTAAAGAGGACAGAACAATGGTGAAGAGAATCAAAAGAAAAGTGCAAAGGGAACTACGAGTTTCCGCCATTGATCGATGCTAGCTCTTGGGTTATTATTAGTTCCTTACGTGTTGAATTTGAATTGATGGAGAGAATGAGTGAATTGAAGTAAAGTTTGAGCTCACTTCAGTATTTATAGGTAGGGGAAATTAAAAGAGGGCCGGGGGTGCAGTTTGGTGGGTATTTAGCGGTGCTTGATTAAGGCATATTGGTGAGGATCAATCAGCTTTTAACAGCCCATTAATGCTACACCTCATCT